TCCTAAGGCTGCTATAATAAAGCACCACCAACTGGGCAACTTAAAAGGATGGAAATGTATTGTCTCACAGTCCAGGAGGGATTAAGTCCTAAATCAAGATGGTAGCAGGGCTCTGTTCCCTCTGAAGCCTGCAGGGAAATCCTTCTTTGGCTATTATCTGCTCCTGGTGGTTTGCGGGCAATCTCTGGCATTCATTGGCTTACAGATGCATAAATCCAATCCACTGTCGTCACAGGATATTCTCTGTTTCCCTGTCTTCACAAGGCCATCTTCTTATAAGGACACCAATCACATTGCATTAGGGGTCCAGTCTACTCCAGTACCAGCTCAGCTCAACTGATTACATCTGCAATGGCCCTATTTCCACATAAAGTCACATTTGGAGGTACTGGGGGTTAGGACTTCATCATTGGGGAGGGGAGGGGGTCACACTTCAATTCATAGCAGACACATTCTTATATAAAACTGCCTTCTGGATTCCTAGATCTCCCTTTAGTATAGTGAACTGGTTAATCCATGGGTTCTGAGTCAGATTTGTCAAGTTAAACATTTTGTCTCTCATACAGATGGCCAATAAACACATGAAAAAAATGCTCAGCATCACTCATTATTAGAGAAATGCAAAGCAAAACTACAATGAGGTATCACCTCACTCTGGTCAGAATGGCCATCATCAAAGATCTACAAACAATAAAAGCTGGTGAGGATGTGGAGGAAAGGGGACCCTCTTGCACTGTTGGTGGGAATGTAGATTAATACAGCCACTACATAAGACAGTCTGGCGATTCCTTAAAAAACTAGGAATAAAACTACCATATAACCCAACAATCCCACTACCAGGCAATCCCACTACTACCCTGAGAAAATCATAATTCAAAAAGACACAGGTACCCCAAAGTTCACTGAAGCACTATTTATAATATCCAGGTCATGGAAGCAACCTAGATGTCCTTCAACAGATGAATGGATAATGAAGTTGTGGTGCATATATACAGTGAAATATCACTCAGCCATAAAAAAGAATGAATTGGAGCCAGTTCTAGTAAGGTAGATGAACCTAGATGCTGTTACATAGAATGAAGAAAGTCAGAAAAAGAAAAACACATATCATATATTAATACACATACATACAGAACCTAGAAAAATGGTACTGATGAGCCTATTTGCGGGGCAGGGATATAGATGCAGATATAGAGAAGAGACTTGTGAACTTAACAAGGGAAGGACAGGGTGGGATGAATTGAGTGGGTTGCTCTGAAACAAATATATTACCATATGTAAAACAGACAGCTAGTGGAAAGTTGGATAACACAGGAAGCTGAACCTGGTGCTCTGGGTCAACCTAAAGGAGGGAGAAGGGGTTGGGGGTGGGAGGAAGTTTCCAAGGAGAGAGGACACAGGTATATACTTCTGGTGGGTTCACTATTGTTGTATGGCAGAAACCAACATAACATTGTAAAGAAATGACCCTCCAGTTAAAAACAAAAAAACAAAAAAAAAAAACGGTCTCTGCTTCTGTGTGAACGAGGCTGGGGCAGGTTAGAAAAAGGTGCTGGGCACAGTGCTGGGCATTAAATGCTCACTAAGTATCAGCCATCAGTGTTTTTACCCTCCAAATCTTTTCACTGACTTCTCTGGAAGGAAATAATTTATTTTTTCCTGCAGACACACACAGTCCAGGGCAGAATCAAATACTCTGCAGCTACAGGAACAAGGAGCAGAGTGGAGAGTCAGAGAGGTTAGTTTCACTTGTTCATTCAGTGAGACTGAAGGAGGAAAGCCACTCCTTCACTGTATTACCCGTAAAGGAGACGGTTCATATTTGTTAGCACTTGAAAAAGTTCTCTCTGTAGACGCTTCCAGTAGGAAAGGCAGGCATTTCTCAAATACATGCCCTTGACGTTGGATAGGCTGCTGGGAGAAAACAACTGACTGATGTTTAAAGAGAGCCTCACAAGATGATGCTTTTGTTGTTTGTTTGGCAGAGCTGAGCTGAATGTGGGATCTTAGGTCCCCAACCAGAGACTGAACCCATGCCCCCTGCATTGGAAGTGTGGAGTCTTACACAAGTCTTAACCACTGGACTGCTTTTGATGAAAGCATGTTTGAGGATGTTTTGATGAAATTCCCCATGGTCAGGTATCAAGCCCTCACTCAGTTTGAGGACAGGCTCAGAAATTTCACAACAAAGACCCAGAACTGAAAGCTGAGTCAAACAAGAAACATTCATAAAAATGTACGAGATGTAGAAAACCAGAGGGCCACTTTTATAATTTACAAAAATTATAAAATTTTTGTAACAAAAATATTTTTTTGTGACAAAATATATTTTCGTGACAAAAATCTACCTGTTTGTTGGACCAGAACTTTCCATCAGTCCAACCACAGCTTCTCTCCTTAGACTTAATGGGCCCAAAAGGAAACGAATGATTCTCTGCCCCCATCTCGCTCGGTTGCACCGTCACACCCGCAACCCAGGCCAGAGGAAGCCTGGTTCCCTCTTCTTTACCGTCCATAACATGAGCCAGTCTTGTTGCTACTACTTCTGAAATCTACCTTGAACCCAAAGCGTCTTACTTCCAGTTGACTGCCATGGCTCTTGCCTCAGGCCACATCTTGTTTCATCTGAACCTCTGTACTAGCCTCCCAACTGGTCTCACTTTTTCTGTGTCAGTCATCTTCTAGACCAGCAGTCCCCAACTTTTTTTGGCACCCAAGGCTGTTTTCATGGAAGAGTGCTTTTCCACAAATCGGTGGGGGTGGGGGGGGGTTACGGTTCCAGGATGATTCAAGTGCATTACATTTATTGTGCACTTTCTTTTTTTATATACACATTTTTTTCCATTTATTTTTATTAGTTGGAGGCTGATTACTTTACAACATTGCAGTGGTTTTTGTCATACACTGAAATGAATTAGCCATGGATTTACATGTATTCCCCATCCCGGTCCCCCCTCCCACCTCCCTCTCCACCCGATCCCTCTGGGTCTTCCCAGTGCACCAGGCCCGAGCACTTGTCTCATGCATCCAACCTGGGCTGGTGATCTGTTTCACCCTAGATAATATACATGTTTCGATGCTGTTCTCTTGAAACATCCCACCCTCGCCTTCTCCCAGAGTCCACAAGTCTGTTCTATACATCTGAGTCTCTTTTTCTGTTTTGCATATAGGGTTATCGTTACCATCTTTCTAAATTCCATATATATGTGTTAGTATACTGTAATGGTCTTTATCTTTCTGGCTTACTTCGCTCTGTATAATGGGCTCCAGTTTCATCCATCTCATTAGAACTGATTCAAATGAATTCTTTTTAATGGCTGAGTAATATTCCATGGTGTATATGTACCACAGCTTCCTCATCCATTCGTCTGCTGATGGGCATCTAGGTTGCTTCCATGTCTCTGTCCTGGCTATTATAAACAGTGCTGCGATGAACATTGGAGATGTGCACTTTATTTCTAATCTAAGGCCACTGCTGATCTGACAGGAGGTACCTCTGTAGCTTGGAGGTTGGGGACCCCCTGCTCTAGGCTGTCCTTTCTGCAGCAGCTACAGCTCCCATTTCAAAGCAGAAATGATAGTGTCACTCTCTACTTCATCCTCTTTATGGCTTCCCATTCATTCACTAAACATTTTTACTGAGTGCCCGCTCTGTGCTCTACCCTCAACAATGCCTCCATTCATGAAAAGAAATAGTACGGAGATTGTGGTAAATGCCATGAAGAAAAATAAAGAAGGTGTGAAGAGACAGGGAATTGTGTGTATGTGTTTACAGCTATTAAACAGGGTCTCCAAGGAAGGTTTCACTGAGACCGAGTAGGAGGTGAAAGAGGTGAGAGTTGAATTCTTTAGAATATTCCAGTGGGAGGGAACAACTAGTGCAAAGGCCCTGGGGTACAATAGAAGCATGCCGGGCAGCTGAACAGAGTAAACTAAAATCAAAGCTTTACTATGGTTTATAAACTGACCCAGTTCCCTCACCACCCCCCCCAAAAAAACCCTTCCCTTGACAGTCCTCCAAACTTTTCCAGCACTTTCCCCACCTCACTGCAGTCCATTCACACCAATCTAGTTCATCAGACACTGTTTCCTGCAACACAGGCAATGTAGCTGCCTCTGCAGGAATACTTCCCAATCCAACTCTTAAGTACAATTTGCTAGATCAGTTCCTTCTCATCAGGCAGGTTTCAGTTTAAATTTCACCTCAGGCCTTTTTGAACCACAGATATTAAAATAGGTCTCTTCTTATTACTTCTTTCCTAATTGTTTCCCTCCTGTCCTTAATAACATCATACAATTGGAATTCATATTTACATATATATATGAATTTATACTTAACACTCAATAGGCAAATGTTATCTCATCATCATTTAAATTTGCACTCGAAAACTAGGGAGGATTAAGCATGTTCATAAGTAATAGTTCTTAACATGAACTTTTTTTCACTTCCTGTCCTCACCTCCCTGGCCAGCTGGAACCCGACCCTGTCCACCTGTACCGGGGGTTGCTGCTGCTAAGTCGCTGCTGCTGCTAAGTCGCTTCAGTCGTGTCCGACTCTGTGCGACCCCATAGACGGCAACCCACCAGGCTCCGCCGTCCCTGGCATTCTCCAGGCCAGAACACTGGAGTGGGTTGCCATTTCCTTCTCCAATGCATGAAAGCGAAAAGTGAAAGTGAAGTCGCTCAGTCGCGTCCGACTCTTAGCGACCCCATGGACTGCAGCGGGGGGGCAACTTATTTTCCTGTTTCCTCTCGGCAAGAATTATTCCAAACCCCAACCGTCTTTAGAGCAAAGTGTGTCATTTCGACATCACGAAGTTGTGAAAACGGGCAAGAGTGACATTTGAGTTGTCACCGGCACTCCCACTATGCAGTTATCGTGCAACTATTAAATATCACCAAATCATGCGTACAATGCAATGATGAATCACACTGAATATATCTATTTAAGTGAAGGCTAGGGGAGCGCTGCCCATCAGCGGCCCCTCTGCCTGTTCCAGGGGCCTCCCTATCCCGGAGCAGGCAGACGGTCTCACCAGCCCCGTAGACAGCCCGCGGCCGAGGCGGGCTAACGCGCGCAGAGCTCGGAGCTTCGCCGACGGAAACGCGCGAGAAGCGTCCCAGAGCATCCAGCGCGGCCTGTCTCCCGAGCCCCACCGAGACGACAGCTCATCTCGCGAGAGCACGGGCAGCGCCCGGCGGCGGCGGCGGTGGCGGACGGCGGGCGGCGGCAGAGCGCTCTAGACCGCGCCCCCTCTGGCGCGGCCGGGAGCGGCGCGCACGCGCAGGGGCGGCGGGCTGGCGTGGGGGCACGAGGGCGGGGGGCGGGGCCTGCGTCGCGCCGCGGGCACGTCGCCGCGCGTCCTCGGTATTTAATGTGTCTGTGTTCCCCCGGCCCGGCCGAGCACGTGGGGGAGCGGCTGGAGCGTTCCGCTGAGGGGCCGCGCGCAGAGGCGGGGGCCGGGGGGGCGGCGGCGGCGCGAGGACTCTGCACGCCGACGGGGGCTGAGGGGCGGTAAGTGGGGGCCGCCGGTGAAACGGGCAGCACCTGCGGGGACCCCGGGGGAGGCGCCGTCGGGGCAGTGCTGAGGCGCCCGACGCAGAGCTCGCGCGGAGGCGCCCGGGCCGTCGCCGCCTGTCAGGCAGGCCCTCTCCCTCCCGCCGCCCGCGCGTCCCGCCGGGCCCCGCCTGATGCCCCTCTGGTGACCGGCCGCGGCCGCCCTCTGCAGCCTCGCGGGACCCTCCGCGCGCGTCCCCGTCCCCGGGGGGCGGGAAGCGCGGGCGCGGCGTTCCGTCCACCTCTCCGCGGCTTAACTTTCCCGGAGCTGCGGCTCACACCCTCCCGGGGCGCGGACGCCAGTGCGTCCCACCCAAGGTCGCCCGGCCTCGCGCGCGCTTCCCTTTCAAAGGTCGCGTGCGCCCGGCCTGCGCCGGGAGAGGCGGCTGCGGCGGGCAGGGCCAGGTGCTCACAAGGGCGCGGGAGTGTCCGAAGGCCCGCGGGCGCCCTTCCCCCGGCCCCTCCGGGGTTGGAGCTGAGCTGGTCCCTAAAGAGGGCTCCCCCAACTTCTGGGCTCCCCCGTCGTGCCCCGGGTTGCGCCGCACCGAGGCCCGGCGGTGGCACACCCGAGCGGGCAGCCCAGCCCCTGGGAGCGGCACGCAGCGAACTCAGGGCTCGGGGGCTCGGTCTGCGGGACCGCGAGGCTGAGCTCGGAGATCGGCTGTGCTTGGAACCTTGCAATGGGAGAAGGGAGGTTCAGGGTCCCGGTATCGAGGGCTTGGTGTCTCTCTCGAAGACAGGCTCTCCCAGGCCCTTTACAGGGTGTCCGGGGAGGCGGGGGCCGTACTGCCCCGGGCGCCCGCTGACCTCGCACCCCGGGGCGCCCGCGCCCCGCTCGGCCCGGCGGGAGCACGCTGATTTCGGGGTTCCAGGCCCCAGTGTGCGTGGGCAGGCTTTGGTCTGGACGCCTAGGGGGCGAGCTTTCACCAGCTCTCCCGTTTTGTGCCACCGTGGGTACGGTCGCTCCTATTTCCCTCCCCCGGCGGAGGCCCAGAGGAGGACAGGAGCTGTTGGTGGCAGGCGGTGGTGCCCTGTCGACTGGTTGGGAAGACCAGGCGTTTCGCCGTCCCCCTTTCCCTCGGAGATGCCGAGGTTGGCGGGCGCCTTCTTGCCCCCTCGTCCTCCGCTAACACCAGGCCGGTGCACACAACTACAGGTGTCAGAGGAGGCCTCTCAAGTCGTGTCGGGTGTATGGGCAGAGCCGTGGGGTCGAACTAGCTGTCTTTCCCCTGCGGAAGTACAGGCTGTCTGGTGTTTAAATGTATCTCCTGTAGGTTAATCTGGGTGGCTGGACATTCGGTACAGTCATATCTGTTGGTTGGTTTGCTCTCCAATACCCCCACTTCCTTTGTCGAAATGATTGATTAAGAAACCCCATTCACAAAAGGCTATCAATTCTGGGAACTAGTAACCTTACCTTGCTGCCTTATTCTTGGAACTGTCCTTCCCAAATAATTTTTTTAAAATTCGAGTTAGAAGTTTGAGCTCTTAGCAGTGCCCATCCCCTTTGCTCTTAAAGGTACAGAGCATCTTTGAAGTGAAGAGAGGGGAGCATGATGTGCCCGTCTGTCAATCTGCTCTTGAAGTTCGAGGGATTCACCTGCTGATGATTTAAGACATTCTTAGCACTGGAGACAAGTGAAGTAGTCTCGGGGGAGCTTTTTTTGACTTGTGTTGAACCTTTCCTCCTTAACTTCTGAACTTGTTTCACGGGTTCCGGGTAGTAATTCCTGGGTGTGTGTTTAGATGAAGATTGGCCTTGGGCTGTAGTAGGTTCTCTGGATCCTACAGGTATGCAAATCACTGAAGCCTTGGTGCCTGCCTGAATTAAATAGGCTCTATTGTCCCACGTATTGTCAGGTGATGGCCCCTGAAGTTAGAGATAACTGATCCCCTCCCAGCCTGTGAGTGGGACTGGTCTGCTGTCTAGCTCTTTGTTTGACTACCGGTTCTTCCTCCCCGCTGTTTCTAGGAAGTACAGGTACTTGGCCACTGCAGGGTGTCAGTGAGGCTGTCTGTTGGAAGTGGCTGCTCAGGTGCCAAGGAGATACGTCTCCAGTATAAGGTTGCTCAGCGTCAATATTTTAAAGTAATTTGTTCTACCTAGTAATGCAAATTATTCTTGGGCGTTGAGCCCAGGCCAGGTCAAAATCATCGTTTGTGGGTGTAGGCTAGTTTTAAGCTTTTCAGTCTTTCATCCTCAAGACAAATTGAGATATTTGCGGGGTGCAGCGCTGTGCCTGGCACATGTTGGGTACTCACACATTGTTTTTTACCCCCTTCTAAAGAGTCTCTGATACTGACTTTATTTCTCTTGAATCTGTTAAGTGACTTGAATATTAATAAAAGGACTCTATTCCCCAACCTCTCACCTGGAAACTTGGTTGGAAGAAGGAAAAATTGGCTTCCTACACATTGCCAGCCAGCTTCCTGGCTCAAGCCACGTGCCTGGTGAGCTGGTGCTTTCCAGCCCATTCTCCCCAAGTGCTTCCTTCCTAATCTCCCCTGTGAGTCTTGAATGAGGGGGCTTCTCTGCAGTGTGGACTGTTGTGCTCTGGTGGGGAAGTTTGGGTGTGAGTTAATACCTTCAGCCTGCCATCTAGGGTTTCTCTCCTCTGGGGAGGAGGCCGGTCCTTATGGGCCTCTTAGCCCATTGAAATCATCTCATGTTATTTGAGTTGCTAATCTGTGTGGGATATATTTTAATCCCAGATCTTCATTTCTAGGGCACATCGTTTCTTCTACATCCCTTTCTGGTGTAATGCCTCACACAGATTTCACCTTCAATTATTAACATCAAGTGCCGATTGTGTGTGGCATTTTCACTGGCCTGCTGGCCCTCGTACCTAATTTTAAACTTGGGCAGTGCAGAACAAGAACAGTGCTTTGGGTAGGACAGAGTGGCTGAAGAAGTCACTTGTGGAGACAAGCTAAAATTTAGGGGACGCCTCTTCCTTGATAGTTACTCTTCCAGGTGAGTTACAAGCAGACGCCTCCCTAATCCTTTAATCCTCACACTTCTGAGTATAGTTGAGGAGGGTGAGGGTGATGCTGGAGGTCATTCGGGATTGTTTCAGTGGCAAATAAAAATACAAATTGAAGGATCGAGAAACTGACTTAATTTGGGTTTGGACTTACTGTCAGTCCTCTGGAGGGCTTTTGTGAGAAGAACACGGAGTCGTCAGGTCCATGGTTCTGTTCTTTCTGTTGCTTCCTAAGCAGATTATTGCAGTAAAAGGAGTGTGCGTTATTGTTCAGCATTCTGAGGACTGGCTTTCAGTCTTAAGGACCTTTCAGGGTGTCCTTTTCCTCCTCCTGTATGGTTCTGCTAAGTGGTCCTTGTTCTGTCCAGTTCTTGCCATCTGAAATGTTTCTACAGCTCAGTTTGATAAGTTTGCAGAAGTTGATGCTAAACTTTCTGTCCCCATCTGGCAGTACAGGCTGGCTGCCTCTGCTTAGCTGGTCCTCACTGAGGCCCATGCACTTAGGAACAGAGTAGAGCCCCAGGAAAGTTCTGGAAGTAAAGCTGTGGCATGCTGAGGGGACTTGTTTCATCCCTGAGGGTTTAGCTAACAGAAGTCTTGATTGGGGATGGCAGAGTGGGGTGGAGGTTGAGGTCTCTACAGCTTTATAGGCTGAAACCTGGCTGGAGTTCCAGGCAGGTCTCAGTTTCTGCAGCTGGGGGAATAAAGATAGTCAGCATAAAATGCATTCAGATTGTGCTTCTGGGAGCCCTGGAGTTAGTCTGCCCCTTAAAACTGCTGGGGGGTGGAGTTGCCTGCAGGGTGGGGTATGTTTGGGCTAGGGATGCCAGGATAGTACAAGCCAAAGGTCAATCCACTGTTTTAAGTGCATTTGAAGTTCACTTAGTTCTCAGGTGCTACTGTATTAAAGGTTTTTATTTTTACTATATCTTTATTTTCCTGAATCCATCCTTAGGGCTGAGGGTGTAGAGCTGCCTTGTCCTATAGATAGCTACTAGTTGTGGATAGCTAGTTAAATTTAAGCTTTTTAAAGGATTAAGGCAATTTTAAGAATTAGGCTCCTTGGTGACATTAGTCACATTTCACATGCTCACATAGCTTCATGTGGCCCAAGGCTGCGGTACTGGACAGTGCAGATCAGGAATGTTTTCATCATCACCGAAAGCTCTGTTGGACAGCACTGGTCTTAGTTCTTTGCCCAACTCTAAAAGCTTCATTGTCTCGCCTTATAAAGCATCACGTGTTTGACCTTAGTCTTCTTTATTGCACAAACCCAACGTCTTTGGTGACAAGTTATTTATCAGCTCTCTCCATGGCATGTCCAGAAGTAAGTTCTGGTTTGGAGGGCAGTGATCAATTATGAAACGGTTTGAGAGAGGCGTGTAGCACAGGGTCTGGGGATGGGAGTGAGAAGCGAAGGGCCAGACACTAAGCCTTTGGAAAGCCATCTTGGCTTGAGAGAGTGTTGATCATCGTAAAGGTCCTCGCTGGTTCTCTAAGGCCTGTGCTCAATGGCCTTGGTCGTCGTGTCAGCAGACTTGCTGTTTGGTCCTTCCAGTCACCTGGTGACTTCTGCAGGACCCCAGCATGGCCTTTCTAAGCCAGGTTGCGCGCACCTACAGACAAGTGTCATTTTCATTCTGTCCTTGCAGGCCGTCTCAGCGGCAGGAAGCCTGTCTTTACCGAAGCTTTGGGGAGAGTTG